CTATGTTCCTTTCAGTATATAAAATTAGTTTTGTTTTATAGCAGATTGTGAATGGAAGATTGTCCATTCTCTTAAGTCTGTGAATGATGTTTTGTCTTTGATTTGTTTGTTAGTGGAAAATTCACTAAAAGAATAATTTTATTTTTTTTTTAACTTGGAAGCAGCAGTTGTTTGTTTAGAGGCTGACAATCAGCTGGGTGAAATCAGTGTTTGAAAGAAGTGGCTGGCAAAAGCGCCCTGTGCAATATTAATGTGTTTAGGAAAACCACTGGAAACAAAATGTTTATTGCCTCTTTAAACGTTATGTTTATATACAGCTTTAAGTGGTTTGTCTTCCTCTGTACATGCAACACTTGTTTTTAATTTTGTATTATCTAGAGAGCTGCAGTAAGAAGTCACTAATTTAAAAAATGACATTTTTAACCTGAATGATTAAAATCCAGATTAGTGACTCAGAGGAAGAACAGAGGGGAGATTTTATGGTGCAAAACCTGAGCCATATGTATTAAATTCTGATGATGATGTTTTGATTCTTTGAAAAAAAATAACTTGTCTGTCATAATGAGTATATAATGTTATTGCTATGGGGCTTGTTCATCTATCTCTTCCGAGATGATGGGATGAAATTTCACAGTCATATTTTACATAATGTTAGAGATAGCTTGAAGCTAAATCTGTGCCAAATTTGGGGATCCTTTTTGTTTTGGGATGCCTGTTCCAACTGTATCTGTCAAGTGACTGTTGCATAGCAGGTGCCTTTACAGTCACAGTGGGCAAGGTGGAATCTGTGTAGTGCCTCTGACAGATTCAGATGCAGGGCAGAAGATGGTGATTTCTGGCGGTTGTTTATCTGGTTGGTTGTACAGCCCCAGCAGCGTGGGTTAGAAGGATTGCACAAACTTTTTTTTCCCCTTTTTCTCAGGCCGGAAGAAAGCTTTGGTTTGTAGGGATTGTATCTGGCAAAACTACAGAATGGTGGACAGGAGCGTGCTTTTTGCTCTTTTGAATGTTCATATAAGATATTTTTATTTTTTTCTGTTTCCCAAAATAAACCTTGCAGTGTGTGCAGCTTATTTGAAGAACTGTGGAACTTTTCTTTAAGATAGTTTGCGGCGTGAGATTTTGGACAGGTTTTGTCACTATTGTTTGAAATTGGCATCCTAGTCTTTGCTAAACTCTTTGTAAAGTTTCTCAGAGATTTTTTCCGCTACATAGACATTATATAAAAAACTTCCCCAAAAAGCTTCAGGTTCTATCCCAGTATCAGCTGCTTCTGAATAGGTCTCCGTACATGTAGCATAATTTTAGGAAATCGATCTGAAATCAGTTGCAAAATGCAGAATGGATGGTTCTCGTACAGCCTTGTCATGACAGCAAAGAAGTCCATGGGTACATTAAATGTTAGAGCCTGGGAACACATGATGGTGGAGAGGAATCGCAAATTTGTGGTTGCACGGTTCTCTGAAGAATGTGTAGCGCAGGGAGCCATGTCAGGGAAGTGAGTTTTGCACAAAAGTGTAGATATGATGCGGACTGTAATATTTATATCTCCTCAAGGAGGGAGCACTACATTAAATGTAAAGCTACTGTAAAAGAAATCTGTCTGCTGTACTCACTAGGCTTGGTGAAAAGCTTCAGTAAGTCTCCTTAATATAAATTGACTTTGATTGGAGTATTGTTTTTATATTTCTTCTGTTAAGTTCAGGTTCCTTTTCAGTATAAATAGTCATGCATCCAAAACATTTGAACTGGTATTCATCTGCTGTTTCCCTGTCTGAGAACTGCTATCTGATCAAACCAATATTTTTTAATTATGTATTTATAGGCAGATGGGAGAATAGTTTACAGTCAATGTATGATCTTCTCTGCAAATCTTGGAAAATTGTGGTGGTTTTTTTTTAATATTGCCTTATCAGTTTCTTTTTTTTATTACTGATGACTTCATTCTGTTTGAATTCAATGCTTCAGTTTCTTTGGGGTAAACTAATAGATTATGTATGCGATATTTGCACAGTGCTGATTGAATTCATCTGGTGAGTTTGAATGTGGTTCATATATTCACATAATTGTCAGGAGCCAACTTGAAATTCAGAACTGTTTCATGAGCATTGCACAGGGCATCATATTCATCTCACATTACACAGGAGTGGGTAAAACTTTCATGGTAAGCTAGATACGCAGCTCTTTGAAAAGCCAATGTCTTTTACATTTGTGCCTATAAACAGTGATGGAGGAGAAAAAAAAAAAAAAGCTGTGGCGCTTTAACTGTTTCCTGAAAAAATGAAGCTGTCCTAACAAATTCTGATCATGCTGGCCATTTTTGACCAGACTTGACAGGTGATTTGATGTTCAAAAGATACTGGATCACTTAGTTTCATGAAAATAAGCAGCCTGCTAGAGAGACCCAGACGAATGCCCTTGCTGGGGAGAAACACTGCAGTGTGAACTCAGTCCCATTATCGGACACCAGAGAACCCACAGGAGAGAAGCACAGGAAATCAGACTTCACGGAGCTGCTTGTTTCCACAGAGATTATGCTTGTGTTTTCACACTAATCCAGATGGATAACTTCCCATGTGCTGCTATCTTTCATTCAAACGTTCCTACTCATTCTCATGGTTAGGGTTTGTACTTTAACACGGCATGGCAGAGATTTGCCAAAGAAAAAGCTGTCAGGCCCAGTCTTTTAATACATATAATCAGCTTGATCAGCACCTACTTCCACTTGCTGGCTAGATGGGTTTAAGTAGAAGGAAGTTCACCTACAGGAGATCTGCAGTAAATGGAGAACAGGCTACTGTTACTGCCTCTTATAATTTAAATCTCAGGTTTCATTTAAAAAAGGAAAAAAAAAAAAAAGTATGGTATTTTCACATTACCTCTTCAGCCAAAATACCTGGAGGTAGAAGGTTGGTATGTGGCCATTAGGCCACTGGTGGCAGGTGCTAATACAGTTTGCAGAGAGCTGCAGGGAGCCAAATCAGCCGGAATCAAACTAGACCCGTTGCCTGTATTTCAGCATTTCCCTCTCTTAGCTAGTGCTGCTTTGGGTAATGATGTTGGCAAAGCAACAGGGACAACATTGCACTTTGGGCCTTATCTGTATGTTAGCAGCCCTAATTAAATGCTTTATCTGTACTCACAAGTAAAGTCAGGGGATTTCACAGGTATTGTATTGCTTAGGAGCTGTGGACCAAGCTTCACTGTTCTAAGTGATAGCTCCCATTAGCTAGTGCTCAATTCCAGTGTTTTGCAAACTGGAAATGGTTCTCCACTATTTGACAAGAATTCATGCAAGGAACAGAGGCATTTATCTGTGGAAGGAGTCAAGGGGAAAAGGGAATGTACTTTTTGGGTTTTTTTTTCTCCTCTATAGTCCACAGAGTTTGTGCAAGCTTTCTGCACTGTCTTGGCAGATCATGAGAAAAATTTTGTATGCTCTGGAAGAGCTCAGTAAGTCAGCCAGAGAAGCTTGAAACCTCTGGGACTTCGTGGAGTAGAGGGCTGGATAACTTAGGATCCAGGGAAGGCAAATAATTTAAGTGTTTGATTTTTTTCATGGATACATACTGATGCTGCAAGTAAACATTTCCAATCCTGGCTGCATAGTCAGTTGCATTTGCACCCTATGTAGAATTTCCCTTCATTAGTAATTAATGTCCAACCAATCTAGGTTGCTATTAGATACTAGGAACTACTTGTTATTGAACTGATAGGTTTATGTCCGATCTTTTGTATGTGCTTTCCAAATTCACTTTGCTATGCGAATCCTATAAAAGGCTTCCCTAGATTCTGGCATACTCCTAGTGGAGCGCAGTGTGACAAGATGCTCCACTGAGTCTGTGCTCATGTTAGTAAATCTGTATCTCTATAACCCATTGTTGGTGAGGCAGAGTTAAGGTAGTTAAGGTTGCAGATTAAGAGAATATACAATGATGTGCTACAATAACAATAGTCTGAGTTTAGGAGCAGCCACAAATAAATTCTACAACGATTCCCTGTGAATGTCAGTAAATGGTGCTGAACCATACAGTCAGTATTCACCCTAGTGCTGACTAGAGCAGGGCTGGAATAGCTGTGGGAAACTTAATTTATTCATTTTCAGTGTGGTTGTATTTTTCTGAATTCTTAGGGATTTTCAGGATAGTTTTTTTAATCCTTCCAGGTATAGCTTGGGCTTTCACAGTTGTACAAGTCCAGCTGTAAGGTTGTGGAAGGCTCACCAGGATCAAAATCTGCAAAGATAGGCATGTGTTTAATGTGACAAACTAAGCAACTCCACTAGCTTTACCATGGCAGTTTGCAGCATATGCAGTTCAGCATAGAAGTGAGTCTTTGTCGATTACCGAGTGGATTACTGTTTAATTACCACTTTAAAAAAATAGTGTCAAGATTTGATAGTCTGCTTTCCCATCTCTCGTGCCTTCCCTGTATTTTCATGGCTGATGTTTTAGTTCTCTGCATATTTGGGAGGGAGGTTGTTTTTTATGAGATAAAACTTCTTTCTATGCTTCTCTGTGAATATAGTCTATTCTTTACCTTGAACAAATGTAGTTTTAGGGAAATTCCACATTTAGCGTGGGAGCAAAAGGAAACATTTTTCTGGCAGCTTATCATCATCATCATCATTATTATTAAAATATGATAGCCATTTATAGCTGCTCATAGGAATGTTAAAAGTTTCCTTGTGCTCCCCCATCTGTCTGCATCCATCTGTTGTCTCTTGTCTTGTACTGGAATTGTTAAGTTCTTTGGACAGGGACAGCCTTTTTTAAAAATGGGGATCAAGTTCACAATTAGCAGCTTTATTAATACAAGAAAGCAAAAATAAGGATGATACGGGCCAGTGGGCACTATGCAAGTCGGAAGAATCAAATGTTCATAATCCATTTCTCTTAGGTGTGGCAATTCTCTGTGTGTGCTCATGTGGGTACCTGGTAGGTGTTAGATATGTGTGTACGTATGAGTTTTATTTAGCTTTTTTTTTTTATTTCTCTCAGTGGCTGCACAGGTGGTGGGAATGCTGATCGTATCCAGAAGTTACGGAAAGAGTACCATCAGGCCAGGAGAGAAGGCTTACCTTTCTATGAGGATGACGAAGGAAGAACACAGCCCTCTGGTTATGACCAGTGTTGGGTAGGTCCACAATGCGATGCAAAGTGCTTTTGCAGCACTCAGGGTTAGCAGAAGGTGCTGATTTGTTTGTGTTTTCCAGAAATCCTGTGTCAGCTTAACATGAATTTGGGGTGTTTGTAGAGACAGAGAAATGCCAGCCCACCAAATAAAACATTAATAACATGAAAACTTGGCTAAAAGTAACTTGTCTGTTCCCTGTATTTGATTTAGGCCCAGGTTTCTTCTCTTTAAGCCCAAGATATGCAGTCATCGCCAAACTTTGTCACATGTGTTAGCATCAAGGCTTTTTAGCAGGATTTATGGCACTCTGGCAGTTCATCCAGTGATTCCCTGGGTTAACGAGAGTGTTAGAAGAGCAGAGACTCACTGTGCTTAGCTGTAAAGTGAGAGGAAGGAAATGGAGGCATGTCTGCTCCTGCCCTTCCTTCTGCACACTGAACAGTAGCAATGTGGCCACAGTACATCCTCAGTAACTTTTATAAAGTGAAAAATGGGATAATTTGCTTGTCTCCCATCAAAGGATCTTGAAACATTCTACCAACGCTATAGAACTTACAGACATGCTGTATTTCCTATTTTACATCTAGGAATCACACTACACAGAGACATATTATCTACCCTACTACCAAAGAGTTCTACCATGGTTCTACCATGGTAGAACCAGAGATTAAATCAAGAGTGCTGAATTTTTGAATGCATTAAGTAAATGCAACAGCTATAGTGTATAGGATCACAACTGTGGAACTTAAGAGCTCCACCTGAGCAGGTTTCAGAGTTGGACTCCGTCTCTTTAGAAGTAATTATAATCAACCAGCATTTAAAATGTAACTTTGATATGATGCAATTTATGCTAAATTTGAAATTCTAGTTTAAAAAGAGACAGAATTATGTTAAAATCCTGAGAGTCTAAATATATCTGAAGTTTGAACTAACATTGTAGGTTTTAATGTCCTCCAAACTATCAGTGTGAATGCTGAAGTGAAATCTTCAATGACTGAGGCTGTAGACCAAAAGAATCCTATGCGAGACTAGACTTTATTGCAAACACAGAGTGAAAAGGGGTGTTTTTACATAAATTTTCATATATATTTGTTCATTAACAAAAAAAATGTTGTTGTATATAATATTCTGATTCAGTTACCAAAAGTGTCACCTTCAGCAAAATAATTCTTAGAGCAGTTAACTTTGATCTACTGCCTTAAATTTTGTGACCCAAATTTGAGAATCTATGTAGCTGCCATTCTTCTTCTGAATAGCTTTTGTAAACTAAAATGAGAATATGCATCAAATGTGTCTTTCTGTTGAAATTGTGTGCCATGTTAAGTGTCCTGACAGAGGCCCCACACTGGGCAGTGGTACCTCTTCAGCCACCTCAGGATTTCTACTTCTTATCTGAAACTGATAAAGCTCTATTAATCCTCAGAGGAGGTTGCAATTTATGGTCCAGTGTAGTTTCCTAAGATTCACAAAGGTTTCTTCTGGGTAATCCTTTTTAAGCCTTTCCTATTAGGTATAATGCCCAGAGATTACTCATTTCCAAGGCTTTGCTTTTCCTGTGAGGCAAGTTGTCCTTAATCAGAGTGCCTGAAAGGGGGCTTTAAGTATCTCAATCTTGAACTGATTAACAATAGTGGCACCAGGATTGTTTCTTTTTGTTGTTCCAATGCAGAACATTTTTAGATGTTTTTGTTGTGAGGTATGGCAGTCAGCTCAAAAATCAGAGTTTACCTTGGGGGCTTTATACTCCAAAGTTTGCTGCCGCAAAAGTTCCTCTTGTTGAAATGGTTTACAAATTTCAAAGACTTCTGGTCTCTACACTGCAACAATATCATTCATTGATCCATCCAGCCTTGCTTTCATAGGAACTGTCTTTCAGTGTGGAAAATACTGTGGCCCCAGCTTGCTCTCTTTCAACTCCTGGCTGAAATTTCTATGCTGATATGTAGTTTTACCCTTAAAATATATATGTTACATCAATCCATTCAGACAAAAATGAAGAAACAAAAATAGAATCGAATATTAAAAAGAAAACAAATGTCTCAAAGCATCTTGCCAGGAGAGTGCTCAAGATATTTTATAAGCCATGTAGTCTTTTCCACCTCAGGCTGCTGACCCTCAGCAGTACCGTGGTAACACAGATTGAACAACAGCTGATTTTTTCCATCTTTACTCATCAGTGAAGAGACATGCTGATGACTAATTGCGGAATTGTAAATAAATAAAAACTTACTCTAATCTTCAGGATGTCAGGTCTTTCTTTAAAGAGTCGACAGACAGCTGAGGGGAGGAAAACCTTCTGGTGTAAGTTTTCTTCCTTCCCACAGGAGGTTATGGCACCAGGGAAGCTGCAGCTGGAAAGGAGATGCTGGGTCTCCCTATGTATTTTTAATACTCAATTAGTTCTTTCTATGCTTTTGTCAGTCAGCTGTTTTACCTAAACCAGCTTTTCTATAAGATGTCTTTCTAATGTACAGCAGCTGCTGTAATCACTTCCCACCATCTAATGAAACATGCAGATAAGTTGGGAAATAACGGAGGATAATTTGAGAAGACACTATCCCGTCGCAAATCAACAGCCTCAGAAATGGACCCTGGGTCTTGTCCTCCAAAAAAGTATCTGAGAACTCATGAGGCAAATTTCTATCTGATAAAGCCGACATTGAGAAGTGGCCTCTAGCTGACACTGTAATGGGACAGAATTTCTAATAGAAGGGGTATTTCTAACAATCTACTTTTTTTAAAGTGGGGTAAATCAAGTTAAAGTGGAGAGCCGGCTGAAAAGCTAGCATTGTAAGGGAAAATGATCTCATGACAGGCAATTGGGATCCATAAATGTTTTAAAAATAAGGTCAAAAATTCATTTTAAATAGGCCTGCTATTCTTTCATCATCCATTCCTCCCCCCTGCATCCATTTTCCAGTTCTCCTCTGTTCTTCTCATCTGTTGCTGGATGGATTTTTTGCTCTCTTGCGCCTTCATTCTGCTCTCCCTTCCCCACAGTCTGTTCTTTTTCTTTTTGTAACTAACTGAATAATTCAGTTTATTGTGTCTCCATAAGCAGACACATGTATATAGCACTGTCTGTTGTACAGAGCCAGATCCTTTGAAATTCTTTTCCAGTTCCTTTGTGCTTTGGTTTGTTGTTGAGTTTTGCATCCTTTGGGCTCCTCCCTGCCCCCTACCCCCTTTTTCAGGTTTATAACTAGGATAAATGATAAGCCGAATTCTATAGGGTAGATCACAAGGCTTAAAGTAAACGTCAGCTAGTTAACCAAAGGGCAGGCTGATGATAAGTATAAATGTTGTCTAGGAAAATGAGTGCCTGTTGCTGTCAGTGTAATGTGAGATTACTCTAAAATTTTCTGACAGTTAGGGTGTATTGAGAAGTATCAGTGCAAGACAGAGTTTAGGCATGTGCATACATACTCATGTCTTAATGGGCCATCAGATAGTAAAAGTGCTCACGAACATATCCTTTACAAACTCAATGCTGGTCTACAGAAAAAGGCATAACATGTTTATGTAGAATTATTATATACTGCAGTATCAGTCAGAACCTGAGAGAACTATGTAAGCAATAAGCTGCAAGAACAAGTCTCCCTAGGAGTTGGAGGGCTTTTTCATGGGGCACTCTTTTTTCAGGGCTTTAGAGTCACAGACTAATAACAGATCATGAGAAATAGAGAAGGAGCTGTCAAGACAAAGCTGTGAAGTTAGCATCTGCACTTGTATTTAAATAATGAGGAATTAATCATCTATTTGAGGATTTACTTGGATTGTCTTACAGACGTTGTACAAATCCAGTTACTTAAAACATCAATTCTTTCCTTCAGGGTGGCAGTAAATCCTTGAAACTTTATCTTTTCTTAATGTACATTTAAGAAGTGCATGTAACACCGGCCACATTGCAAATAGTTCTTCACCTGTTAGCGACCACATCAGCTTCACAGTACAAACCTTATGTTAAATGGTTCTAAAAGTCATTTTCTTATTTGCCGATCAGATTTGGAAGCTGAAAAATAACCTAAAGATATACGAAAACCTGTCCCTGGATACTAGCTGTGAAAATTTCGATTGAAACAAATCTCTAATGTACTGAGTTTTGTCAGTTCCCAGTTGAGAGTATGAAAGAAGAATCATGCCTGTCTGTGTTAAAGGCCAAGTACTTTATTGTGTGCCTGGCAGGGATCCAAGCCTAAAAATCAACCAGAACAAAAAAAGGAGCGTTAAGAACTGCATTATTTTTCCATAATGTGTCAAAGGGTTCTATGCGTGCTTCAGGATGAATAAGGAGCTGTTTGTACTTTTCATGATCAATTAATTCCAGGTTTAAGATGTTGCATTTCAAATAGGTTAGGTTCCCAAAATGCACAGACGTTTGTGTTGGACCACGGTTAGAAACCAAAATTCCAACTTCTAGAATAATAACATTCCTGTCTTCTAGCGCAATGGGAGAAGCTGACAATTTTATGTACTATGTGAAACCATATAGCAGAAACTGCTGTGAATTCCAGACTTTCTGAGCCCACAGACTATTAGTAGAAAACATTGAACTTTAAAAAAAAAAAAAGAAAAGACAGTATCTTACTTAGAGTATAGCTGCTTTGAAAACCATGGATTGGAAGTATTTCTGTATATGTTACTAAAATATTAATTAAGAGAGCATGTAAAATATTTTACTAGGATGTATGATTAACTTACCAATCAAGAACTTTTTATGGTCACTACTTATCTCTGTATAACAAAGGTTTCAGATTGGGGGGTGTTCTAAAGAGCTGTTCAAACTAAGCAGAGAGATTTTTAAATTTACAGGCTGGCTTTTGGGGGTAGGTTTGGGGGGAAATTATTTTGGAGAAATCCCTGCCAAACCTCATGTGAAAAATAAACTATTCCAAATGGCATATGCAAGGAGAGCCAAATTCAGTTCCATTAATACTAGTAATAAAGAGTGACTCTTATAACTTGTTTGGAGTCATTCCTACTTACACAAAGGTTGAATT